AATCAAAACAAATCTCTGGTTGTCTTCCCCCACACCCACTCCCCACACTTTGCATCTTTGCACTCCTTATATGGAATTGTTATCTCAGTGCAGATTAGTATTGCTTTTCTGCATATTGAAAACTTATTTCTACACTACAGGAGGTAAAAATTTTGGTATTAGTCTTCATTATCTATTTTTAATAATGGAACTGATGGCATCATACATCCAAAGGTTTTTAATTTCTTTATGTAGGCTGTTCTTTCATATCTTTTTATAGGGGTATTTTATCCATCTGTTCACTTCCCTTGTGCTTTTTTGTTTTAAAACTATTTTTCATTCTCTCATGATTTAAATTATAAAATGATCCAGCCATGAGCTATGATTCTTAGATCTTCACAGTGAGAAAAAATCTTCCAAGGAATTCTAACCTTTCCAAAAGCTTTTGATGTTTAATATCATGTTGCATACAGACAGGTAAGTAGTGATTGCATTCTGTGTTCAGTGTATCCTTCATGATTGGCTTTTTGTTTGAGATCAGGCAGAAGAAGAAATTAAGGGATTTATTTTTTTTTTCCCAAGTGTGACAGTGATTATTGAACTGGTCACATTTTATTCACTTCACTTTTGCCACCTGACAGAATGAACAATTATCTCCAACCAACTGCTGTGGTTGCAAACACATAGAAGTAACTCTGACCAACAAACTCTGTGGGTATCCATACCAAAATTCACCACTATAAAGTGATACTACACTGAGACCTTTCTAATCATGGTCCCTGTAGATGTAATAAATAATTTGCATTCAGGACACAGAGGTGTTAAAATTTTCCTTGTACATGAAACATCTCTTACTGTTTACAGGATCTCAGGTGCTCTCTTAGAGTAGTCTAGTAGATGGAAAGCAACCTATTTCAGCTGTAGGCAAGGAAAATAAATGTGAGAGGAAAACTCTTCTTGATAACAATCATACATCCTTTGTATAGCATTTCCTTATTTGTCTTTTAGTCAGAGTATGTCCTGGCTCTGTCATGTTACTAAGGAAAAAAAGGAAAACAAGCATTTAATTTTTTTCATTTTGACACCTTTCAATTAAACTAATCACTTTGTGGGTCCTTTTCTTAAGCCTAGGTTTATTACAACTCTTAGAGTTTTTTTCAAATGCAATTTCTGGAATAGCTAAATTCAAAACAAAATGAAACTAAAACAAAATATTCAAGAAGGCTCCTTTTTGCCTTTATCATTGCTAGATCAAAGTGATACTAACTCATGGTAAGTAAATTAGTGAATTATCATAAATATACAGCTTTCTTAGAGTCCTTAAGATGTTTTAAGATGTTTATGCAGTTTAGTTAGTTTTTCTATTGCAGGCTGACTATAAAGATTGCTAGACTAAATACATAATAGATTTCCTACTTTTAGTGCCTGTACTTGTGCTAAAGCATACCTCTAGTATTTTCATGCTTACAAGTCTCTTTTATCTGAGTCCTTAAAATATGCTTTCAGCCAGGATATCTGCATGCTATGTGGTAGAGAATTTTGTAACATCCATTTTATGAGTCTATGCATGCATACATACATACATACATAAATACATACACACATGTATACATACATATCTCCTTTGTAATCAAAATAATTTTATTTTCTCAGTTCAAGCCTGATGTGATTAAAAGTGCCTTAGATTGTGAGCAGGGAAATGAAGAGAGCTTAGGAAATAAGTGTATGGTGTTATGCCTGTGCAAGAATGACATTAATAGTGATGTGAATGAATGGATTATGTTGTGTTCCCCTACATTCAAGTCCCAGTGAGCAGTTAATGACCATCAATAGATCCCTAGTGGAGGGAATTAAAGAGGATACAGCGAAATGATGGTCCACTACTTCATTGACAGGCACAGAGAAATAACATGGTCCCCTGGTTAGCCACATAAAGGGCTAAGGAAGGGAACCAGCAGAGAGAGCACATTGTGCCATGACAGACTCAGATGTTAAATATATGCATGCCTGAGCAAAAGAAACTTTTAAAATGTATGTGTATGTTACTAATTATTTATATCCTTCATCAAACATTTAACACATTTAGCTATGGTGAATATACAATTCAGCACACTGATTCCCTTCTTATATTTATTTAATAATCTTTTTCCAATAAGAGTAGCTGAAAAATATAAATTAAAACATTTCTCTGCTGAAGTCCATGGAGGTGAGAATTTGCTGCTGCGTTTTTGAATTTCTGCCTTGTTTCAAGCTAGTGTAATTTTGCTATAGCATACTGAATGGGCACAGTTGGTCTCTGTCATTCAAATATTAAGCAGAAAAACATGATTTTTTTTTTCCTCCTGATTCTTAGTCTAAACATTTAAAAAAACTAAGTTCAAATGAGGATGTGAAGCTTTTCCTTCATTCCTTCAAGTCTGTCTCTACAAATTACTAAGAAAGTTTGTAATATAGAAGTTGGACAATAGATATGTGCTCTTTCACTTTAATGGTTGCCTGTGTCCCTGTCTTTTCACTGCATCATCAGGATGCTTTTTTAGTTATCTTGTTGGTCCAATATGTCTGTAATAATCACTGGCTGTGATTTTCTCCTCCTGAGGCATACTCTGGAACATGAATACTGTTGGAAACACAACTGAATACAACATACAAGAAGAAGGAGTAGGCCTTAGAAGAGGCACAAATGTATATGTGGACATATCATCAACAGACCAAGTCAGTTGGGAAATCCCTGTTTGGTTTGAGATTGTGGTTCTTCTTTCGCTTTTATGTTTTTGGGGTTTTTTATTGGGTATTTTTTTTTGCCTAAAAAAAACATTTTCTTGAGGGAAAAAAAATTATTTTTTTGAAGTAGGTTTGCTTTTCTGAAATTGGAGTATGAATATTTTTATGTTGCTTTTCCTTCATACTCATATGTAGTTTCTCCTTCTGTTCTTCTGAGAAAACACCTCACAATTAAGTGAGAGGTGTCAGCCATGTAAAGTGAAGGGTCTTACAGCCAGAGAAGACGTCAAGAGTTAAAAAAATGGTAGGGAGAAAATTTGCCAATTTCACCACCTGTGGTTCTTTGTTCTGTCAATCTTGCAAGCAGAATTTAACTGTTGTGTAGTCTGTAAGGTTGGTTTTTTTTGGATTTTTTAAGTAACAGAATGTTCATTTGGTGTTAGAATTGCTACACAGCATTTGGTATATAATATAATATAATAGGTATATTTCATATTTTATCACATAGTTTGTGTCGATCTTTGCTGGAAAGCTAGTAAAAGAAATGAGGAACTCAACAAGTTCCTATGAAAATCAAATTTTGCTTTACATGTACTCCATTATTTGGCATTAATAGATATTTTTCTTAAAAACACCATATTGGTAATGTACTTGTAGAAAAAAATATAAGGTATTTCATGATACTTCTTGGCAGATCCCCTTCTCTAACCTTGAAATATTAGTTACTGAGCAGACCAAAACACAGAAGTGCTATTGTCTTCCAGAGGATGAAATAACAGACAAATTAACCAACAGAGTGACATTAAAACTGTTAGGTGGAAAGCTGTAGACTTGGCCTATTGTCTGATTATGAGCTGACTCCCTTACAATCATATTTTTTTAAGAAGTATTTTAAGGTGGAGCTAGAAGAAGTGTTTGTCAACAGAGCTACAGAAAATGACTGAACTTTTGCTTGTTTCCTTATTTAGTTTTTTCCTACTTGTATTCAACAACAAATTATGAAAACATTTTCCATGCACGGAAATGTCTTCCTGGTAGCCTTTCCCCTCTAATCTGAAGGTAAGAATATAACTGAAATTTATTTCAGATGAAGAACAAACTCTATTAAGAGAATCTCCTGTATGTGTGATGAGAATTTAGCTTTGATAATGCTAAACAGGGAGTCTTCCCACCCTTTATCAGCAGTTTAGACAATGAATCCTTCCTAACTGCAGAAAAAGTAAGTAAAGACTTGTGAGAGGGTCCAAGCCTGTGCTGAATTTACTGTTTATTGTCTTCACTACTGAAAATAAAACTGAGGAGTGAAAAATGTTACATGGAGGAAATGGAGTTGTAAATAAAGAAACCTTCCCATGTCTGTTAGTCTGCTCCTTTCTAAAATACACTGAGTGCAACATGGAAATTAATGGATAAATGTACTGGACTTGAAGTGGTTGATCACTGAAGGAATCAGTAAACAGAGAAAAAACACATTCAAAAGGAAGAAAGATGAATGATGACAACAATGAGAATATTAGAACCGATAAGATCAGTGTCATAACCACAGTGTTTTGCTATCATTCCATTCATCACATGATGCCTTCAGTGCTGTTCATTGTCTCCTTTGGAAGGAAAACATATGTTTGGAAAGAAGAGTGATGAAGCAGACACAAAAGAGAATGCAGTTGCTTTATGTCCTGTAGCTGGCAGCACTTGTACCCCATCTGTTAGGGGGAAAGGAGCAGAATAACACCGGCATGAAATATTAATCTATTTAATTGACCATAAAATATCAAAAGTCATCTCCTTTCTTATCTCTCCACCGATATCATGTTCAGCATCTCCATTGTACTAAGATGCCTTGAAAGATTAGAAGCAGCCTGATTTCCCTTAATGCCTTAATAGTTTTGTCCTAGTTTCCAAGAAGGGCAAGAAGGAGAACCCTGGAAACTACAGACCTGTCAGTCGCGCTTCAGTGCCCAGTAAATAATGGAAAAGATTACTCTGGGAGGTATTGGAAAACACTTGGTGGACAATGCAGTCATTGGCCACAGCCAGTACAGCTTCATGAGGGGGAAGTCCTGTTTGTTAAACCTGGTTTCCTTCCATGAGATGGTAACTCAGCTGATCTAGAAAAGCTAGTTGATGTAATCTCTTTGGACTTCAACGAAGTTTTCAATATTGTCCCACACAGTATCCTCCAGGACAAAATGTCCAGCCCACAGCTAGATAAACACAGCATGCATAGGTGAGCAACCTGCTCATGGGTCAGACACAAAGGGTTACAGTGACTGTGACATCAGGCCTGTCACTAATGGGGCTCCACAGGGCTCCATCCTCAGCCTGGTTCTCTTCAGCATCTTGGCTAGTGACCTGGATGCAGGACTTGAAGGAGTACCAAGTAAGTTTTCTGATAACAGTTGGAAGGAGATGCCCACTCCCTCAAGGGCAGAGAAGACCTGCAGAGAGACCTCAAAATTAAAGAGATGGGCAATCACCAACCATGAGAAATTCAACAAGGTGACCCTGGTGGTGTGTATAGACTGGAGAACAAGAGGCTGGAGAACACAGTCATGGAAAGGGACGTGGGGGTCCTAGTTGACAGAAGTTTGAACACAAGTCAGCAGTGCCCTGGCAGCCAGGAGAGCCAGCATTGTCCTGGGGTGCACCAGGCACAGCATCACCAGCCAGACAAGGGAGGGGATTGTTCTGCTCTGCTCTGCACTGGGGCAGCCTCTCCTGAAGTTTTGGCATCCACAAAATGAAAAAAGACATTAAGCTGTTAGAATGTCCAGAGAAGGGCCTCAAGTATGGTGAAGGGTCTGAGAGGGTATGGAGAGGAGAATTCTCATGAGGAGTGGCTGAGTCCACTTGGCTTGTTCAGTCTGGAGGAGGCTGAAGAAGACCTCACTGTATAACTTACTCATGAGGAAAAGTGGAGGGGCAGCTAGTGATCTCTTCTTTCTTTTGTCCAGTGGCAGGACCTGAGAGAATGGCCTAAAGCTGTTTCAGAGGAGATTTAGGTGGGATATTAGGAAAACCAGAGGGTGGTTGGGCACTAGAGCAGGGTTCCCAACGAAGTGGTCACAGCACCAACCTGACAGAGTTCAAGACACATCTGGACAATGCTGTCAGGTATATGGTGTTTTTCTTGGGGTGTCCTGTGTGGGACCAGGAGTTGGACTCTATGATCCTGATGGATTTCTTCCAACTCAGCTCATTCTATGATTCTATAACATAAAAAAAAATGAGACTGGAATGAAATTAGTGGCAAGTATGGTATATTATTTCCTTCAATTTTACCTGCCCTTTGTCAGCCATTTGTGTCATGGTACAATAAACAGGTGGATCTTTGGTCTGACCAAGCCCTGCTCTAAGGGTAAAGGGCTTGAGAGAAATATTTGGATACATAAGACCAGGGTACTTGCAGGTTTGCGAGAAAATGAATTAAGGTTTTTAGAGGCAAGATGATGAAAGAACCAGCATGTAAAAGGCAATATTGGACTATTGTCTAGGAAGAAAGAGATATGAGGACATTAAAATGAGTTTAAATCCTTTAAATGTGATATTTCTTCTCACTTGTCCCATGCCAAAAGCAGAGGTTGCTTATGAAGTTTGGTGCACTGCAGTATCAAAGCACAGTGAAAAGTCTATTTTTATTATAATTGAAAGTTCGGAAGTCATTAATAATCTTGTTGCTTTAAAGACTTTAAAAATCAGCAATGGCTGATCACTCTTCTGAAAACTTTCTGGCTGTTGTATACAGAGAATGACTAAGGGACTTTGATGCTGTCTGTCTCAACACCATATTACTTTGCATGGTGGTTTCTGGAACCAGGTCTAAAACCTCAATTTTATCTCTTTCAGGCTAGCAGCTGATTACTGTAGAAAAAAAATCAAAATCTATGTACATGTTCTCTGCTTTGGCCAAATGAACGTTAAATTTTGCTGTCATTAGCAGTAACCCATTTAAAACACAAATAAAAACATCTGCAGTAATTGCCATTAATATGTCAGCATTTATTTTGTCACCATATAGTAACTTCTTAGAGTCTACAGTTATTTACTTCCCTAAGTTTAAAAAGAGAAACAGCTTTGTTGCTGATGCTAAAGGAATGTAATTAGAGGGGAAGAGACAGACATCTGTTAGGTTGTTTGAAAAATGGGTTTTTTGAAATTTAGGTGACACAAAAATGTGCAATGTCTTTTACATGCATTTAAATTGGGGAAAGATAAAGACCTTTATAAACAATTTTGCAGGAGTCTAGTTTTAAAAAAAGAGTGCAGAGTTGCAATAACTTAATGAGTCATCAAAGAAGGTTGAGCTGCTCAATGTCTATTAAATTGAAATGATTTTTCCAGACAACTAAGAGATAATGGAAAAATGAAATGGCTCATCAGTGCCATAGGGATTCTTTTTTAAATGCAACCAGGTTTTAATACCTTTAAGAAGATGAAGTTAGAGCATTCACAAGCACTTGAGTCATGGTTACTGAAATTTGGATATATGGTATAGATAGTAAAGTCAGTGCCATGAAAGCAATTCTGTATAACAGTCGCAAGCACATTCCTATTTGGATGTTTTTTGGTTTTTTTTTTGCCTGGCATGAACCTGGCAGTATGTTCTTTTATTAAGTTCATATCCGCTGAAAACCCCAAAAGGCATTTCCTGATTGAGTCATATGTTACACTCATCTTTTATCTAAGGATGGAAAAGTGTGTTGAGCTAAGATAAGAGTTAACTAAAATTTTGCTGGGAAAAAACTCTAAAAGTAATCATGCGTAGCCTATTCCTTTCAGGTTCATACACTATTGCATTTGCTTCTTTTCTTAAAGCTACTTATTTCCACAAAGGCTGTGCACTGGGGCTGTTTTATCAGAAGGAAAGGCAGAGATCCAGAAGCAGGTGCAAACACTGCAGTTTTCAGACACACTATTTTGTATGCCTGTTGCATGCTGTTGCTCTTCCAGCAAGTGTTTTACCCATGTCTCACATGAGACAAATACTCTGCCATGTAATGAGGATTTATCCCCTGACAACAAAATGTAGCTCTCCCACTTGTGTTGAGTGGTATCCTCATATTTCAACAGGAAAAGATGAGGAACAACAAAATAGCATTTTAATAGCACTGACTGATGACAATAGGAATAAAATGTGCAACAGCTAGATGACTATGTGTGATGTGGCAGTCAGTAACAGCAAGCAGGAATAAAAATACGTTTTGCATGGAGGCTGCTTTAAAAATTATGTGGCAGTCAGTAACAGCAAGCAGGAAATTAAAAATTTAGTAGGGATTTTTATTTTGTTTTGTTGGTTTTTTTCATTCTAGGAGTAGAGTACAATAGTCTTGCAAATAGCTATAGGTGGGATGTGGAAAGGAATGATTTTGTTTTAATAGGAATAATGAACTGCCTTTATTTGATGCATCATATGTTGAGCATAGCTCATGCCACCTTGTGCCCAAAGAAAAGACAGCATTGACCAGCCTGTAGTGGTGGATCTGCACACTCCTGGTCATGCAACCACAGCGACATCTGAGCAAACCAGAAAGATGGACTGTTGGAGTTGTGACTGGAGTGAAATAGGAGCAGAGCCTCTTCAGACAAGAGAAGAAGTTGAATTATCTGTATTTCAGACCTCTGTCTTGTTATTGGCCTGAAAGGAATTCCCAGCTGAGGAAAACTTTGCTCTCTGTCACTCGATAAAAGACTTAGTTGTCACTTTGAGTGCACTAACTGAAAGAGAGCCTGACAAGCATTTCACACCATATGGTATTTCCTGCTTCAATTTGTTTTAAATGTTCAGATTCTTTTTATACTTCATGGCCTTAAAAAAAAATAAATCTTGATGTTTCTCCAAAAGACAAATAGTTTCAGTAGTACTACTTCTATTAATATAAATGTACAGTTTCAAGAAATAAACTATAATGTGGAGGCTGCTCCATGAAAGAGATGTGTGCAGTTCTTAAGTGTCCCATCTGTTGCTTTGCTTCAATCCATCTTTATATAAACCAAAGGTGAAAGTCCAAAAAAAAAATTCAAAAGGAAAAGGCAGGGGTATGGTCCCTCAGGAAGAGATAGGAAAATAAAATTTAAGTTGATGGATAGAAAGAATAAACCAAAATAATTAAGAATATTTTAAAATCTCTTTAAATTGCATTATTTATTGTTGTTTTCCTTTTGTTGGCTGAATGGAAGAAAACAGACAGAGACCTGCTAAACCTTGCCTGTACCAAAAATATGCATTCTAAAAAGATGCTACTGTGCAGTTCTCAAGTGATTAAATAAAGTTTAACTTCACAAATTAGGGTGTTGAATATGGTAGACAGCATAAGTAATTAGTAAAGATCATGTTAAATTTGGAAGGTTTTTATTCCCATCCTTTCAAACTAGTCCATTATAATAGTCATGAAGTTAAAAGCTTTTATTTTGCCTCTTCATTCTCATTCTCTCTTTCTCATGCCATCAGGAGGAAACTATTTATTTATTTTTTTTATAACATGACTTGTCCTGTTAATAAACAATGCTGATTATAGGCTGCTTCCAGGGAATGCTAAGTGATGTAAGTGGATGAAAATGTGGGATTTTCAAGAAGTTGCCTGTTGGAAAGCACACTATTTTAAATTGTTATTGTTAAGGGAATTCAGGAAAACTTGTGATGGTGCTGCCATAGAAGGAGAGGATTGCTGAATGTGTGTTTCTGGAGATACTAGAAAATCCAGTTACTTTTCTTCTCTTTACACATTTGTCATAGGGTTGGTTTTTTTTCTATAGCTAAAGAAAATATTACTTGTTGTTTTTGCAGCCTTCAACCACGATGGTTCTAGTAAGAAGGGAAAGGAAGATGTGTCACATTACCTCATGTATGTACACTTGTTCAGCTGTGGGAAGAACTAACCAGCTAGCATGTAGGTTCCAGCAGACTTGTACAAACATGAACTGGCCTTAAAAGAAGTACTACATATAAACACAGAAACATAGAATGGTTTGGGTAGGAAGACGCCTTAAAGATCATCTTGTTCCACCTCTCATGCCATAGGCAGAGGCACTTTTCACTAGACTTGGTTGCTCAGAGCTCCATCCAGCCGGGCCATAAATATTTCCAGGATGGGGCATCCACACCCTCTCTGGACGACCTCATCCAGTGCCTCTCCATCCTCACAGTAAGGAATTTCTACCTGATGTCTAATCTAAACCTACTCTCTCACAGTTTGATCTTCACAAGGGATGAAACACAAATAGTAGAACCATTTGTGTGTTTGTTTTAAAATGTTGCTGATATTTTAACAAAAGGAGAAGACTGTAAAGAGATAATAAATCAAACTATCAAAATGTTTAGGGTATTTAAAAATTTCTGTGGATGGTATACTATCTGCCCAGGCTTTCAAAGAAAATCTTATGACAAAGTGGAGATAGACATGATATCTGAGGGAGTGTTTCTGCCTATAAATAAACAAACAAACAAATAAACAAATAAATATTATTTAAATGTCCATTTCATGCTTTGATTACAAAATTTATTTCATTACAGTAATGCTGAATATATTGGAGGTTATATCAGCCCACTCACTTCTTTATTAGTGTCAGGAATGGGTCTTTGTAAGGCATTGCTTTTTATTTGCTGCAATGGAATTCTTTTAGACTTACCCAAAAATGAAGAATTTATTGTCTTTGGAGAATAAAGAGAGTCTGAAGTTACCAATTCTTCTGCATCTTCTCCTTGGAGAACAATCCAATAGAAATAAATTAGCTAGAGCTCACAGCTATTTATTCTTTGGGTTTTGTGTCATACTCTGTCTACGTTTACATTAGTAAGGAGTATTCCTATGCTCTTGTCTTGAAAAATACTGCTGGCATATGCATGAATGTATGAATATGCAGTTTTCTTAGAGATATTGTAAGATAATGGTGGGTCGTTTTGCCAATTCATCCTGATGCAGCATTTTTTATAAGTTGCTGGAACTTTTAGATTGGCCAAAATCTTGTTCTTTTATTGAACATAAAGAAATTTGAATCAGCAGGATGTGAGATGTCAATCTAATACAGTTTTATCCTTCCTTGCAAGGGAATTATCTTTGATTACCCGTCAAAATACTTGTGAAAGTAATATGACCTACTTTGATTTAAAAAAGGAATTTAGTTGCATTTTTCATTTGACAAGGGAATAAATAAATTTTAATATAAATTATCAGCAAAACAGAGATTTTCTTCTTCTGACACTTATGTTGGTTTCTTTAGTTTTACTGCAAGAAAATTGTGATTGTTACTGCTGCTTACATGTGGAAAGATGAATAGGCCGCCTTGCAGTGAGAGAGTGATAGCTGATTTGTAACATTTTAATCAAAAAGTCTGCAAAATGAACCAGGCACCAAATCTTCACTAGGATCCCGAGGAGCCACAGGTATGCTAAGGACTTGTGTGCACAGGTTATTAAGTTGGACTGGGTAAGCTGAGGAAGATAAAAGGCATCTATGGTACAACTGACACTTTACATGAGCTTGTGTGCATGGGTCGCTATGTTTAATATTGATAACTCAGCCAATATGCCATTGAAAATTAGAAAATTTTAAGATTGGAAGCTGTTTATTTGTGGGACAGTTTTAGTGACTGTCTTAATATGTGTCTTCTCTTTTAAAGTATTTCTTAGCAACAGTGAGGGGTCTAAACCATGACTTTTTAGAAATAAGCAAGCTCAGAAAGGTCCTTTTCTTTCTAAACACAAATGTTCTAGTGTCCTTTTTCAATACAGGATTACTGCTGATCTGTGATCTAAATTGAGGAGGCAGGTAAATGTAAAGTCAGACAGGGCTGTGTGCTCAATTATTGGCTTGTCTTGTCTTCTTTCCGAGGAAGCTAATGGCCATCATGAGGGCTGTGGTTACACTAGTTAGTTGGTTTGAACTGATGCCTAGAGAGGCTGATCTGGAACAGAGGCTAGACAGAGTTAAAAGGATAAAGTAGGTATTTATTAAAAGGCCTTTCCAAGGATACACCCTGGGCAGTACAAGAGCCCAGCCATGGCTCTGTCCAAGGTGGATCCAAGATAGACATAAGGTGGATGAGCGGTCACGAGTTTTTACATTTTTATAAATTTTGGTCCATTTACATATTGGGGTTAATTGTTCAATTACAGCTTCAGGTTATGAAGTCTCATCCTCTCAGTTTGCTCGCTTCAATTCACCTTTGTTTATGCTTTTTGGGCCTGAGGATTGTAATGGTTGTCCTTGGTTCTCTGCCTGGAAAAGGATTGTTTTGTCTACCTACCCTGTGAAGAGAACTTACTGACGCTTAATATGAAGCTCAGTTACACACTAAGGTAGCACAAAATCTGAAAAATTTGAAAGCTAAAACTTATGACATCATTTACCCTCCTTTGGAGGCTTGACAAGGCCTTTACCTTCTTAAGCCTCTAATCTAAATATCTACTAATAATAGGTATTTAATAGCAGATAAGTATCTAACAATAGTAAATAACTAACAATAATAAACATCTAACAACAGTAAATATCTAATAACAGATAAAAATCTAATACTAAATGTAAATTGTTATTATGTCCACTAGTGCAGTTTTAGAGTGATTCCATCATCTGTCTTCACTTACCAGGCATTGTTTTCTTTTCCTGTGTTTTTCAGCATGTAAAAATCCCTGTCTCTTATGGAGATCAGAGGCTGTGGAGGTTAAGGCTGCATCATCCCTGGTACCCCAAAAGATATCTATCACTCTGACACCCTGAGGTTCAGGAGAGCTTGGTCAGCTCTTCACTCAACATTTGTAAGCGCTTAGCACTAGCATTCCTAGTACCAATTCAAGTAAATATACTACTCTTCTATTAATAACTTCAGAGTTGTTGGTTGTCTTGATTTGAAAAGACAGGCATCTGCTAAGGAAGGCACTTAAAACACTGGCAGAGTCAGAATACAAGCTGACACCCTGTTGGTCAGGGTTGGTAGCAGTCTGATTAAATGGTGGCTGCAGTCCTCCTGGAGTGACAGATTGAAGTAATCAGGTTCTGTTGAAGTAATGATCCTGTAGGAGGATGTAGTTTTCCTCTTAAGGTCCAGTGGTGGTGCAGATGGGTCCGGTCTTCCTCTGGGAATCCACTGGAGAAAGGCTGAGTGGTATGTTCCAGGTCACAGATTATACCCAGGTAGGAATGCTTGGCTCCTCCCCCTGGGTGGAGCATCTCCCAATGGGATGATGTAATTTTATCAGTGTGCAATGAGACTCAAGGGCCCATTAACAGAGATAGCCCCCTGGAGGGAGGATGGGTCATGGAAGATAAAGAACACTGCCACATCTGGTTTTAACAGCAGATATCCCCCTGGAGTTATGAGGGATGGGTCATGGAAGAGATAAAGAACACTGCCTTAGGTGGTAATAGAATACATACTTTTGGTTACATACATACTTTTGGTTACATCTTGCATTGCAACCTAAGACATTGGTGAAGAGGTTGTTAGACATCTCTGGTAGAATCTAGATGTTTGGTTCAGAGTTATAAAAAGAGAACATTGTGTGTTTGTGAGTCTGTGTGGGCATACACAAAAAAAAAGTTTTACCAAGGCATGTTAGCCAGTGGTCTATACAGGGACAAGCCACTGATACTGACAGCAATGTAGCCCTTAAGTAGCTGAACTACTGAAAGCTGTATGACCTGCTTTAAAAGGAAAAAAAAAAAATCCAAAAAGAAAACACTTCAGCCCAAATGCCTATTTCACTGATCAGGTTGCTGTTTTTAGATATACACTTATGCTGTATGTGTAGACTGATTAAAATGGTAGTTGTTGCAATATTTTGGAAAGGAGGGATATTGCAGTGAATCCAATTGTGTGTCATGCTCCAGTGTGATGCTCCAGAATGCCATGTTATCTTTGTTTTCAAGAGGCAGTTCAGTTAAATGTCACACTGTCTCCCATAACATAGACCTTGACAGTAATTTATTCTCAAACACTGCCTCCGCTTATGGCTGCTTCTTTGTTTAGATATTTCTTTCAATTTCAATGTAGTTTGAGATAAAGTTTACCTAAGTACATCAAAGTACATCAAAGGGAAAAATCTGCCAAGTGAAGCTAAAATTTAAATTATGGAACATTAAGCATTTTGTGTTGTGAACTAGCATTGCTTTGCTCTTGTATCCCCTATACCAAGGACAAAATTTCAAAGATAGCTGCCTAAATATTTATTCTCACTGCTTAATAGAAATACTGCATCATTAATTAAGTATATAATCTAAGTTTCCTAAAATTTATAATAAAATTCCTTTAGATGAAATTTCCAATATTTTCTGACTCCATACATATTGTGGTTGTAGCTTGAGGGCTGATGTATGAAGAGAGCTGAACAAAATCAAACTGTTGGACTCCATTGTCATTTCCTAGTGGACAACTCATCTTACAACCTAACAAAAGTCAGACTCCACATATTTTTCTATTAGATCCCCACCTCCCTAGTTATGAAAAAGACTTGGATGTAAATTTCTAAGAGGCATGGGTTTTTTTTCAGTCAATGTTTTGTTTTGTCCAAACATTTCTGGAGAAGAAAATTGCCCAGTAGTTCAAGTATCATAAGCTCATGTCATAAAGGATATTTGTTTAGGAAAAAAACCACACATAGAATTTGGTCTTCTATATTAAGAGAAAATTGTAAGGTTTGCTTGCTTTGGTTTTGAGATTGTTTTCATTTTGGTGGTTTTTGTGGGTTTTTTTGTTTGTTTGTTTGTTTTGTTTTGGGATTGTTTTGGTTGGTTGGTTGTTTTTGTTGTTTTTTTATATCAATTAAATAGTGACTATGAAATTTAGTTCAACAATCAAAAATAATGTGTAATTGAAATTAATATTTTTGGATATTGAATACTTGTGCAATCTCATCACTGAATGTCAGTAAATAAAGACTATATGTGGTGATATGGTTATTGGGTTTGGACTGATGTATATGTAGCATGGGTCTACTACAGCCTTTTTCTTTATTCTTTATTTTCAATTTAATTGGTATCCATCTTAGTAAAAATTTGTTCTTAAAAACCCCTCTATCCTAAAATTCTTCATTTCTTTAGAATGCCTCGCAAAATATTAATGATAAATATACAAGTTCTTTACTACACAACTGCTACAACTGGATTTTTCTACTTCATAAATGTTATTTATAAATTCTCCTTTCTTCTGATATATCTCCTTTATGTATTCACAAGAAAGCTTAGTAACAGAAAGATTAACATTTTTCTTAACTTTCAAAAAAGCATGAAACTTCTCAAACCTTTTTAACTGAATCTTTAAATTTAATATTGCATGACTGTTGCACTCCACTATGGGGAACTGCAGGGAGCTCTTTTAAAATGGATGGTCTTGCACAAAATTAATCCAAAAATGGAGGGAAAGAGAAAGAGAGAGCAGGGAGACAGAGAAAGCAGGCAGGAACGCAGGGATGAGGGAGCAGGGCATTGGGCTGGAACACTGGGAGGCAGGACAGGTGACAGGAGGCTCAGAGGTCAGCCAGTGTCCAGACAAGTGCCCAGCGAGAGGGAGGATGAGCACGCAAGGGCAGGCAGGGGCCAGCAAGCAGGGACAAAAACAAGGGCAGAAGAGCCAAAAAGAGGGTTAGAGAGAGGGCCAAAAAGCAAAAAGCAGGCTATATAGCCAGGGCAAAAAAGGAGGCAAAAAAGCAGGATAGATCCAGGGCAAAGGGCCCCAAGGGCTTGTGGCTCTTTTATAAGTTGCCTTTATACCTACCTATACCCAGCTCCTCCCAAAGTCTGCCTGCTGACAGGAGTCCATTGGCCCAGTCCAACCTTCCACTGCAGCCCTTTGGTGGAGACTTTTCACCCTCTGATTGGAGAATCTCTCTGGAGGATCCAGTGTCTTTGGTGTTCCCCTGCTGACTGCCTGTCCCATGTGAGACATGAAATGGTTGCCAGGCAAAGTCTCCCCAGAGACAAGGCTTTCTCCCATCTTCTCCTAGCTGTCTCCTGCAAGTGGCAAGAGTGCAATCCCTTCCCCAGATGCCTCTGACAACCAGTGTTGAGACAGAAATCAAAATTAAACTGGCTCCTCACACACAAGATAACCAGAGTTCTATAGCTTTTTTCTGGACAGTCTTCAATAATTTATATAACTTCATTAAATAAATCAGACAAACCACATTTTCTGATTAAATGCAAAAAAAGAAAATAATTTTTAACTAAATATTCTCATGAAAGTTCATATCCTGAAGAAGTTGGAAATAAAGATTTATTTTAAGTATTTGAGATGTGTTTATTGGACATAGGTAGTGCAATGTTAGAATTCATGTTTTAGGACCTTAAAGAATAAATAATGTCCAGAGTAATTTTTCATTTACTCTGTTGACTTGTCAAACCATGTTGCATAGTTGCAAGAAAATTAAATTTTCCTTTCTCCTTTCTTTTTTGAATTTTTTATTTTGGAAGCATTATAACAGTATACCTGTAAAAGTCTATCTGTACTTGTACTTGTACTTTGTACTTGTACAAATAAGAATTTTTGTCCATCCTTTTATCCATCTTTTCCTTCTTAATTCATATGGATGTTTAATAATGCACCCAAGTGCAAACTCCTCTGCTATTTAGCAATTCAGGAAAATTTCATCTCACAAAACTATTTCATTTTAAGCTAGAGCAATGGAGGTGAAGTTACTTCAACTGAATCACCAGAAGGTGAGTTAATGTCAAGTAAATAATTTGGCAGCTTTCCTGGTACCTTCTCAGACCCCTTGTTCATTTCTCCTGTGTTTTTAGACAGCTTTTCTTCCCGTCTTCCTTTGTGTGACCTCTCTTCCATGGGATTTCTTTTCCATTTCTACACTTTCAGTTCTGATATAGGCTAGTGTGGTTCATACATCATCTTGAGGGTGTTCATGATACCTAAAGCAAATGATGTTTACAAATTCTGTTGGAAGTGAAGGATATTTTAAAAAACCTCTGTGTCTCCAGGGGAGGGTACTGTCCACTGCTAATGTGTGAAAATCAATACTATCAATGCCCATAGTATAAGAAAACAGCACTAACAATAGATACTTTAAATGTTGCATGGGATAGAAGTACACTGAAGCACTTCTTCATTTTTGTAGAGATGTAAACTTTTTTGATTTTATATTCCAAAATATGCAAGTCTAATAGTACATTGTGCTGGTTTTGCATTGATTGATTTGTGGTGAAGAGAGGAAAATGTCAGCCATGGAAGTGATTCTCTGTGAGGAGTTGCTAGCAGCTTTCTCTGTGCCTGGCTCAACCAACTGCTGGCTGGCTCTGAGAATTGGCACACTGCTAAGCAAATTAGAGAAGCCAGCAATGCCTCTGTGGTAACATATTTAAGAAAGAAGAACACCATGCAAAGCTCTCTCTCTAAAAGGAGGTGGGGGGCCAGCTGGGCCCCCTTTCTGTGGGGGCTACTGGGCCTCATCCCGGTGCAGCTCCAGGCTGCCAGGGGCCATCCCAGCACCTCAAGCAGCCATGCAGCCAGGGCAGCACCGCAAGACCGTGGCTGTGTCGGCGTGGCTCACAATGGACTTTACTTACTTAGCCACTTTTAACCAGCCCTGCTGCAGACTGAGAGGCAAAAGCAGCAGCAGCAGCTTTTCTTTTTTCAGCATCCCACATGAAGAAAAGGCACAGAGTGGAGCCGGCAGCTGGCGCAGTTTGTGCAGTGCTGGCAGAGACCAAGTGACCAACAGAGAGAGAAGAAGAGATTCCCCGATTGCAGAGCCTGGACAAGGTTGACATTTCAGCTCTGCAGAGCTCCACAAAAACTGATAGAACTGATAGAACTCCAACTGATAGAACCTGGGAACAAATGAACCTATGAACACCAATTCTCTCCCAAGTCAG